GACGCGCCGCCTTATCGCAGGGCTGTGTGATTGCCGCTTCTGCGTATTCGTATTGTAGTACTATTTTTGCGTTTGATAACGTTACGATATAACGTAACGTAAGCGTAACGCTGACACGTGCGCGTAGTAATGTTGTTGGTAGCCTGGTAATATAATTATATTGACGTAGATATACGTAGATTACGTCTACGTAAAATTGAAGCCACTATGATGTCCTGTAAGTTTTAGGACATTATCGCTGCTATGTTTTATGTAATTAATACATGAAAGAAAATTATAATTTCATGAGATGAGACTGATTAAAGCCAAAAACTGGAACCATCTCATCTGATAGAAAGATCGACAATGGGTTAATAAGATAAAACACGCTTACTCAGTAAATATCTCTTTTTACTCAGAATTTTAAGACAGAAAAGTCTCTCCCCCTTTGAAGCATGTGTAAGTATTTGAATTCAATAAATTAGAAATGTTATGATGACTGTTGTAATAATTTAAATAACATGAATTGATATTAGATTAATGTAATCTACCTAATTGAGTTATTAAAAGGAAACCTTAGACGTGAGATTGAGATGGTAATGTTGATTAATTTGTGAACGTTTCTAAAGGAAAAAATATATTAAATATTGTTATTCGCTTTCTCGATTTGATTTAATAGGTATCCAAGTCGAACCTGTGTAATAAATTGCTTTACATCTTTAGGTAGGTATTATGTATCTTCAAGAGCTTTTAATATGTCATTCGACTCTATGTCGTCCTAAGGTTAGAGACACTATAGAATAAAGAACAATAGTCGTATAGACATCGGCCTTAATTGTACTTGATTGGAAATCCTACAAGAACATGGCGTGATGAGGCAATTTATTGTTCTATGCTTTTACGAGCTATTTGGCTTGGAGTTGGTTGGAACATCATGAGCGCCGTTATTTTATGGTGCCACACCAGCGTTGCCAGTTTTTTTTTTCGCCAAGTCGGGACTTTGGTACTTTTTGAGTGAAAATAGCGGGATTCTTCCGTCAGAAGCGGGACATAGTAAAAGGTTTTCAAATATTTATCTTTTTATTTGACTTAAAATTACGTTTACGTGACAATAGATAGCAAAAGTAGCCATAGAAAATGTATTTTATCAAAAAAATAATATTTTAAATCAGATTTACTCTATCGTTTAATTCGTCTTTAGAATAAAAAAAGAAAAAAATTAAAAAAAAAATATTCTTTAGAATAATATGGCGTTTCAAACAATAGTCTGGTGAAGTGAGTGTCTCTTTCCAAAAAGCGGGACAGAGCCTGTCCCGCGCGGGACATTTAAATTTGATTTAAAAATCGGGACGTCCCGCCAAAATCGGGACGTCTGGCAACGCTGTGCCACACGTACAATTTCATGTAGCGACGTAATGAAGTTGTGGTCATCAGCGGACACATCGCATTATCTAACATGTAGCCATTATAATGAAAACTTAATGAAATGATTGTCTGATTTTTCAAGACTTGCATGTATCATTTATGCCACGAACATAGGCAAATTACCAAATATTATTGAATAGACTCTACGGTGAAAGAAGAAACGGAAGACGTAGTTTGTGCCAGCCTCCTAGGTGAACCGACGATTTGGTGAAGGTCGCCTGGACCTGGATGCGGATAGCGCAGGACCGACCGTTGTGGAAATCCTTGGCCTTTGTTCAGCAATGGAAGTCATTTGGCTGAAACGAACTACAGTAAAAGATGGGACTAGGAAATCCTTGAGGAGGCCTTTGTCCGTCAGGATGAAGTCATTTAACTGAAACGAACTACAGGAAAAAATGAGTTTATTATCTTTTGAAATTGAGAAAGAAAAAGGTAGTAGGTACCTTTCTTATTGCGGTTTCTTTTTGGCGTAAAAGGACTATTTGAGTTCAAAATATTTTTTCGCAATATTCCCAGTTCTGGCAAAGCTTATTGCCTATTCATACGAGACTAGTGCGAGGGCGACCCATACCTTTCTTATAGCGGTTTCTTTTTGGCGTAAGGGGCCATCCATAAAGTACGTCACACGAATTTCATGATTTTTTGACCCCTCCCCCGTCCTTGTCACAGGTGGTCACATTTCTGAGACCCCCCCTAACTAGTGTGACGTCACATGTTTTGCAATTTCACATCGAAAAATTATTAAATTAACAAAAAATAGCAACAAATAGAAACAATAAAATCAAGCGCGAGGTACGGTGCATTTGGCGGCATTATAGGCCAGTAGAATTAGATTTTAAATCTCAAATAATTCCTACAAAAGATTTTATTGATTTAATGGCTTCATTGGTTGCCCATTAAAACTCTCCTAGGTTTTCGACTTCGACGGAGTTGTGCTTAAGTGGTGGGAGTATTTTTTAGTTTAATTTATATTTCAAATTACGCGATTAGTAAGTACCTCTAGAAATGTGATGTCATGAAACTTAGGACCCCTCCCACCCCTTGTCACACCATGTCATACTTTGTCGACCCCCTCCCCCCCTCTTTACGTGTGACGTACTTTATGGATGACCCCTAAGGACTATTTGAGTTCAAAATATTTTTCGCAATATTCTCAGTTCTGGCAAAGCCCATTGCCTATTCATACGAAGCTAGTCCGAGGGCGACACGCTAGCTTGCGCCGGCGACGATGCTATCGGGTCACGCTCAATTGTCGCGCATTATGTGCCGAGATACCGTCGACAATTATGAGCCGGAATGGAAGCGGATTGGGCTGTCATTAGGGCTTGCCGATTAGGACTTGTGATGACGGATTATGACAGTGGAATAGAGTCCATCGTCATCCAGAATCCATCCGAATACCGATGTTGCCAATTCAGATTTGGTAGGTCTCTTGCAACATGAAAATGTTATTGATTACAGTAGGTAGGTACCTACCTAATCTTCATCTGCCAATAATAGGGTAGTTAGAAATTTGGAATCGATTCTCTTGGATCAAAAAGTAAAATTGTGTTCCTGCAACAACTTATTATTAACGCAATTTCTACAATTGTACACAACTAACGATGGAGTCTAATATTAATGCCGCATCACTGGTTCTTGTATACCTTCTTGCTGCTGTTCAAAATGTCTTCGGTCATAGAGAGCCAGGTAGTAGAGTCGGTTCCCTTTGTCTTTGATCATGTGCTGGGTACCAGTGTATTGGTCGCTGGCTTCTCAAGAATCATTATTTTCTCATCAAGCATCCTACCTGCATAATGTATTATTATTTATGTAGCCGCAGTCGTTATAGTGCAAGTAGTACTAATAACGCTATCACGCAATCGTAACTTCAATTGAAAGTAGACATTACGTCGTGTTACCGTATAGAATACATCAAAGAATTCCACGAAATTGGGCAGAGCGTCAAAACAAACGGTCGGAATAGACCACCCACTCGATATTCGAACGATTACAATGTAACGCCGAGAGCGGGTCGTCGACCGAAATCGGCGCGGGCGCGACCTTGCAGCTTTGCCTCACCTACATACGCGGTGCCGACGCGCCCACTTTTGCTTTCGACATTCGCAAAAAACATAAGCAACTCGACCGATCGCTTAAACCACCGAGATTGCGTGTCACCTCACCCGTGAACCGTGATGCTTCCGCCTCATTGTGCTAACGATACCACGACTCTGCTAATTGAAACCCGATGAACTTCCAATTAACGAACAATTTACAGTGAATTCTACTGTCGACAACTTTTTCCCACTCTTAATCCCAGCTTAATGATCTTCGACGTTAAATTAAGATCCCCCCAAAGATACCTGAATCGTCTTAAAATGTTTGATCTAAAAATTTCTCTAAAAATTGGGTCAATTAGAGACAAAGCTCCTAGTGAAGTGCGAAAAGGGAGGGGAGTACAACCCTAGTTATGACTATACGCTGCGGCTCCACAAAGAGCGAGTGCACCCTTGACGCTGAGACGCCACCCTACCCCAGCCACCCACATGTCCCATCCCGCTCGCCACCCCTCTGCCGAAAGATATTTACAAAAATAACACCCGCTAACTCAGCCACAAAGTTCATAATCGCTCGTAAGAAACATCTGGCTACGTGTCAAAATTGTGTTATTCGACATTTACCTGTAGATCTCTCACCTAACAAAAGATTGTAAAACGAGTTACGCGGAGAATGCTTCTAGAATAAATAATCTTAGACTGATATGTGGGAGTTCGTTCGTGAACTTAAAATAACATCACATAAGTGAATGCATGATTGATAATCTATCCAAGTATGAGAGTGGATACCGAACGTTAAAGAAGTACAATTATTTGTTCATTTGTCACACACTGAGTGTAGTGTTAGCTACGTGCAGCGACTGTCACACAGCCGAAAATAATAATTTGAGTGTGTGCGTGGGTTTCGGTCGGTCAGTGCAGCGGCGCGTCTCGTTGCGTCACTGCACTGGACGGGCAGGGCAATGCACCTTGCGCTCACAACACTCCGCCGACAAACATCGCGCATGCCGTCCCGTTCTCGCGACTCGTCTATCCTCGCATACGATCGATCGTAACCATTCAACAGCTGATTGTCATTAAGCGCAATCGGTGACACTATTATGGACTGGATTGGTCAGGCTATAAAAATAGAACGTTTATGGCAACGTGCGGTGTGACGTTTCTTCGTTCGTTCGTTCGTTTCAGCCAAATGACGTCCACTGCTGGACAAAGGCCTCCCCCAAGGTTTTCCACAATGAACGGTCCTGCGCTGCCCGCATCCAGGCTCTTCCCGCGACCTTTACCAGATCGTCGGTACACCTAGTAGGAGGCCTGCCCACGCTACGTCTTCCAGTCTCAGAGAACTTTCCTGCCCCAACGGCCATCGTCTCTACGAGCTATGTGCCCCGCCCACTGCCACTTGATATTAGCAATTCTGCGAGCTATGTCGGTTACTTTGGTTCTCCTGCGGATCTCCTCATTTCTGATTCGATCACGCAGGGAAACTCCGAGCATAGCCCGCTCCATCGCCCTTTGGGTGACCTTGACGTTTCTAATTGAATATTATTATTGTTTCAGTGGCGTAGCGGTGCATAGTCCGACGGAAAGCGGCGGGTGCAGCAGCAGTGACATCACCGAGCCGGGTTCGCCGCGCAGCCCCGAGTCGTCGTGCAGCGCGCCGGAGGAGAGCGCGGGGGCGGGCGCGCGTATGCCGCCGTGGGCGAGCGAGCCGGCGCCGCCGGGCCCGCGACGCCTCGCGGCCCAACCCGCGCCCGTGCGACGCCCCCAGCCTCCCATACGACGACGCATCACAGAATACTTCAGCCACAAAATGAAGCCTCAAAACGGCCTAAAGCGCGACTCCAACGCGACCAATAACGAAGACACCAAAAGAAAGTGCCTACCCAAAAACGGCGTCACGGACGACTTAGAGAAATACATCTCGTATCTGTCACAGACGCTCAGTCCTAAGGTCCTGATGGATGTTGGGAAACAAGCAGAAACCATGAAGAAACCCAACTCTACCGTCAACGGAGTTGTTGATTCCACCAAACCGACAGATCTCAGTAAAGTGACGCCTAATACGAATATTAGCAGTCAGCTTGATTTCAGTAGGTCTAAGGAGGGTAGAGAAAAAAATCATCATACCAGCATGAATGGTTTTGTTGAAGTTAGGCATGCGACCGAATCGTTCCAAACGACCAAAGAGAAACTTTCAAATGGGCTTCTAAACGGGTTGGTCGACGGTAAAAAGCAGAACCTCGATAATAAAGCAACACCAGACCCATCCGCCAATTGCGCAAAGTATAATACCACAAATACCATAGGAGCAGCTAAAAGAAAAGTACCTATACCAATGTCAAACGAATTAAATGGAGTAAGAATAGCACCAGCTACATCTGCCAGTCATATGCCGAAGAAATCATTGATTTCAAAACCTGACTCAACGAGAGTAAACGGTGTTGTTAGTTCCACTACTAAGTTAGATAGTAGGATGAATGGGGTCACCATTGGATCAAATAACTTAGGTTTAAGTTCTGAAATCACCATAACGAAGAAAGAAGTTCCAAAGAAGACCACTCCTCAAGCTAAAAGAACAAATCGAAAATCTTCAGCTTGCATAGCTAACAGCAAAAACCTTACTTGGTCTAAGGTTAATAACCTGAAACAAGTACAGCTTCAGCAAAAAAATTGTGTTAATTCTACTCAAAATTCATCCATGCAAAATTTACCAGGTGAAGCAAACACAGCACCAAAGATGAATATCCCAAATGGTGTTCGTCAAGTTCCAATGACGATTAATGGGAATCTCGGTAGTATAAATGTACCTGTGAACAATTTACAGAACTGTCACCAAATAAATATTCCCCAGCCTTGTAATGGAGCAGTGAATTCAAATAATTTACCTTCATTTGTAGCGGTCCCCCAAAATGTTATGTTAGCCACGTTAAGGATACCACAGAATGGAATACCGGCACAAACGTTAACGCAACCAAGTAATATGACCGCTTTTAATAGGCCAAATGTCAATGTGTCAAGCCCGACAAAGTTGAACGGCCAATTTGTGTTTCCACTCATGCAGAATATCAATGGAACCGTTCTGCAAATACCAAATCTAATGGCTAAAATGCCTAATTTTGTTCTTCCTCAAACACCGCAGCTAACAACACCCAGGCAAGACCATTTACAGAATCAACAAACGGCACAAATTCTCATAAACGGTACGCTTTTAAAGTTAGCTAACACAATGACGTCTACGTACCCTAATGTCAACAAGACGGCCCCTGTTACAAGTCAACCTATTCCTGTAATAAATAAAAACGTTCCTGGAATACAACCCGTGGGAATTACCCATATGCAGTCCAAACCGAATTATACCGTTAACCTAAGCCATCCTGTTCTAATGCCTCAACCTGGGTACATAGTGACATCTGTGCCAAATATGAATGTGAAAGAGACATGGAGCTACACGAATACTGCCTTATCATCATCACAAATAACGTGTTCCAATCCAATAGTCCATCACCCGCCACCTCTAGTAGCGAACTTTACTACGGAAGCCTTACATACAAGTAGTATACCAATAGCGCCGGTCAAGCCGCCCGACAATCCAATTCAGGGCACAGACCCGCCTAGTAGTACGGTAAAAGAAGAAGTGTGTGAGGTAACAAGTTCAAAGTATGATATACCGTGGCTTTCAAAAACTGTTAACAATAACATTGTTCCGCTAGATTCTAATAAACTAAATTCGAGGCCTTTTGCACAAGTTTACTCGGAGAGATTAGACGAATTTCATGTAGAGAAAGTGCGAGAAACTCTGATAGAGTCCTCCACGATCATAGACGTTGAATGTACTGAAGACTTAAGGAAGATTAAAGAAGTAGCAAGAAGAGAAGAGACTATTTTCACTCAGATAACTGTGTTGAAAGACGTTTCGTCTAACGTTCAAAGTACTGTGATAGAAGAAACTTACTGTAGCACCACTACGGAGTCATCAGAGTCGGGGATCGGTACTGACAAGTCCATCGACTCCCCGAGCGACTCGCAAACCAGTAAGGAATGTGATGAAGACTCATCGTTATCGTTAAGTATAAGTTTGTGTTCAGTGGAAGTGCAGAGTAGCCAGAAGAGTCCAATTCTGAAGCAGCCGAAAACGTTGAGGTTTCCACCAAGGAATCCAGCGAAATCCGGTAGTAATCAAAGGACGTCAAGTACTGATACAACATCAACAGTTACATTATGCATGTGGGAAAACTGCAAAAGTGAATTCGAGAGCGACACAGATCTCTTGGAGCACTTACAGGTGAGCATTTGAATTGTGTTTTTCTGATTAGCAGAAACCCACCATTAATAACACATTTTGTGGTCTACATTAGTCTACTACAATACAGTCCTTTGTTTACAAATTGTGCTAACAAGCACCCATATAATTCTGAAAAGAAATTAGCCTACAAACAAAAAGATTCATTTCCGTACCCTCAACATTTTCAAATCCTTTAATAACTTACACGTTGTTTATTCTTATGTTCCTTACGAAAATGCTTTGAATTAATAATAATATATTATTAAGCTTTTAAAACATTAACTGATCTTTCTCTTTTCACCCATTCCAGTCAGTCCATGTGGAGAGCCAAGCGGGAAAGGAAAACTACGTGTGCCTATGGCAGAAGTGCAAGGTCCGAGGGAAGCCCTCTTGTTCGCGGCTCTGGTTGCAAAGGCACGCCCTTTCTCACGGAGGGAACAAACCCTTCAAATGCATCGTCGACGGCTGCGACAGAAGGTTCTCCACACAGGTACATTCTTTCTCCTCGATCTCTGCGTACAGATGGCGGACCCTAAAAATTAAAACTACGTCAATCGTCGGCTAGGGTTAAGTTCGCGCAAAACTTAGATGATATTAAGTGCGGGAACAGTGAGTGGATTATAAAAGTTTCAATACAATTTATGCGGAGTTATGAATATTAAGATAAAAAATCAAATACTTTAGCCGACGATAATTAAAAAAATAAAAAAGTGAAAGCAAGCAGACAGGATTTGGGTATTTATGATTCGGGTCTAAAGCAGGTAACGGACTGTTCATACAATTCTAAGCAGTTGATGTATTTTTGCGTGTTCTATGTTTCTAAAACTGTCCGTTTCCAGAAGTACAGTCCGCCATTTTCTTTGGCCCATAGTTAGTTACTAATCATTGTTATATGTCTTACTAATGTTATATTCATTTCAAAGTCCTTTGAAAATAGGTCCAATCTTATGTCGTCAATACCTCATATAATAATTATTCACAATGTAACCTATGGTTACATACCAGTTTTCTCAATGCACCCAGTCTTGAATAGTATCTAAAATTAAGGTACTTATTCTAAAAACAAAGTTGTCTCACAACTTGTAAAAGTCTGATTTTTAGTAGATTCTCTAGAATTTTCTTCATTCTTTTAATACATAGAGTAGGTACCTCTTGTAATTAAGGATTTTGATTGGTCGTTTAGTTTTCTGGTGCAGTACATGTCGTCTTCAAAATTAAATTATTTCTTTGTATCGTGTATTAATATAAGTACCATTTTTTATTTTTTTCCTTACTGTTTATTTAGTTAAAAATTGGGGCAGTAAAATTGGGTTGTTCTTTCTTTTTTTTTTTATTAAATAAATACATACGTTATTAATCTGTTTGTGACATTAAATTGGTTTTCGGGACGGGAGTTTTCATGTATATCTTTATATAAAGAGGTGTGTAGGTTAATAGTTTTCTTTTCGTTGTTCAGATTAAGTTAGTTTCATCGTAGTAAACTTGTGTGTTAATATTGTATCGTGTGTGTATTTTTGGGTGATCTCTTCAAATCACGGCCAATCTTCTAGTGATTGGATTATAATCACGTGGTTGAAGTAGATTCTGTTTGTGGAGATATAAATATTGTCGTCAAACTTTTTCATTGTCTCCTAGTCGTCTTTCGTCAGTTTTGTTAATACGTGCCGTGATTCAATCGCTGGATGATCACGTGGCACATCACTATAGTCATTTAATAAAAAATCTTCTTAATTCAGTGTCGTCATTTAGTATCGTCAGGCTTTAAGCCATTACTTAAATTTTAATTAAGAGTCTTCCATAAAGTCAATTTTGCATTTTTCATATCGTTTAGCGTCTTCGTCATTAAAATTATGTAGCAAAAGTGATGTGACCACATTTGGCGTTGATTTTTAGAGCAATATCGCTCAAAAATGTATGTTAAAATGTGTGTTATGTTTTCTTTCCTAAAGGTTCGAGACTGCGCGTCAAAGTCCCTGTGCCTGATCTACTCCGTGTCTTATCATTTTTGTCTCCCAATAAATTTATTTGACCTTCGAAATTTGATAAATTTATTGTTCGACATATTTAATTTTTTTATTCACATCGAGACGAGCTGATGAAATAAAGGATGATACAAGTATTGTGCTAGGACTAGCTAGATTAAGTTAGTATGCTTTCTTCCAGAGATTTGTTACTTCTTCTTCTTCTTCGAATAGAATCTGTGTATGATTTTGTGAATGATGATGATGTGTTTTGAATCAAACACAGTCGACATCTTCTGGGTAGGCTCTTCGAAATCTTCAAGGATAACTGTTACCCATTTAATATTCTTGATTCTCATCCTAAATCTAACTTGATGGTATTACTTTACAGATATTGTTGGAAAGGCACGTAAACAACCACTTCAACGAGGTGTCTCCAGGGACGAACGGCAGCAAGAAAGCGGTTGATAGTGCTTCCAAGTTAATACGAAGGAATGGCAAGAAACTGCGGTATAGAAGGCAACCTTGGTCGGGTGAGTTTGATAACTATCGATTTACCTATAGTGCGAGTTAATTTTCACTCAGTTCAGCATGCTTTTGATTCATATCATCGAGTTCAAACCTCCATCAATATTTTTGGTTTCATTAACTGAGATAGACACCCATTCTATCACAATGCTTTAACTTGCAACTCTTGAAGTCATTGATCCCATTTCATCATCATAATTTCAGCCATAGGACGTCCACTGCTGAACATAGGCCTCCCCCAATGCTTTCCACGTTGATCGATTGGTAGCGGCCTGATCCCATTTACTCATTTATTTTTTTGACAACGAGTTTAGCTTCAGCCATCCAGCATCAGTCTTTTGAGATTATCTCATTGTCACATAGTTAGCTGTTATGTTATCCTATTACATATTATCACTGTTTGATCGCATCATTTGTTTTTGGGGCGTAGTTCAGCGATCCAGCATCGAAATAGACTCTAAGACCAGCTCACTGTCATTTGAAAGAAAGAAAGAAATGTTTATTTGGCACCAAATTACATGCACTTCTTAAAAACCTACACAATATTTAACTTATTCTAATACAAAACAAAAATTATATAAAATTTAAAAAAAATAATTATAATTTTGGTACCAAATTGGGCTCCGCTCAGTAAAGGCAGTGACGGCGCAGAGCTCGTCACGGCGACTGGTATTCTGCGGAGTCCATTTGCAGAGAAAATGAAGGCGCATAGCCTCAGCGCACAGACAGCCGACGCATACTTATACTTACTATTAGATTATGTATACATATACATATACATACACATACATATATTATATATACATAATTATTATTAGATTATGTGTGACTCAATTACACTAGGCCTTCCTGCAACTTCGCCCGCGTATAACATCAGTAGGGGGCAGAATGTTGTTGCATTTAAGTTGACTTTTTTGTATCTCTGCCTCGTATTCCTTTACTCTTCTCTGATCTGTTGTTTAACCAACTCTATTATCATTTCCAGCGCGCATGTTCGACTTCTTCGACGCTAGCATGATGGAGGGTCTGGCGTGGCGGCTGGGGCGCGTCACCCGCTGGCGGCTGGGCGGCGGCTGTCCGCTCCGCGAGCCGCCCGGCCGACACACGCTGACGCTACACGCCGCGCTACAAGCCACGCGGTACAATGCACAAGCGCACGCGCACGAGGCGCTGCTCACGTACTACCCGCCGCATGTGTGAGTATACATCGTTTTATAACGTAGGGACGATGACCATGGAGGCCCAGAACAGACGGTGAAACGAAACTGCAACTTTCTGATGATGCTGATGAATGAAACTGAAACTGAAAGTTTCAAACTGGTCGCATCATGTGTGGTCTCTCAACGGACGCTATGGCAGTAACTTAGATGCAACTCAAAAGGAGTATACATCTATACTATAATATAAATGCGAAAGTAACTCTGTCTGTCTGTCTGTCTGTCTGTCACGCTTTCACGCCTAAACCACTGAAGCGATTTTAATAAAATTTGGCATAGAGATAGTTTGAGTCCGGGAAAGGACATAGGATAGTTTTTATCCCGGTTTATGAAACAGGGACGCGCACGATAATGTTATTCTGTAACAGACAAAATTCCACGCGGGCGAAGCCGCGGGCGGAAAGCTAGTCTTTTTATAACGTAGGGATGATGACTTGGGAAAGGTGATTCGTGGAACCGTAGGTTACAGGGAATATTGGGCATTGTGTTGGAATATGGAGGTGACGTATGACGTGCAAGAAGTATGTGGAAGGAACGCGTGGGTTAACCATAGGTTACAGGGCATATTGGGCATGGTTACCGGGAATATGGAAATGTTCCCGCTGGGTGGAAATATTGGGATATGTGACGGAAAATATTGCTTAGGTATGGAATATTTTCCGTGCCTAAATAATGACTTTGGAGACCGTCATATTTCTAGTTAAGATATTAGTGAGATATTATTATCCGCGCGCAAAAGGTTTTCTGATACTATAATATGTTTGTCTAGGAGACGATATGGAAAGAGCTCTTTATGGGACAAAACTCTTGCCGAATGAATTAACATTTTTCACAAAATTTGATGACTGCGTCCAACACTACTAGTGTGTAATATGTAATAAATTAAAATGGTGAATTTATTGCAACAACATTTTGAAACTATTGGCAAACCATTTGCGCAATGTGTGGGCTGTAACACCGGTATTGCTGAAATAAAATAATAGAAAGTTTAAGATTAATGGCTATAGTATTACTGAGTTGAACTAAATACCGGTACCTACTACTCGCTGCAGTAAACAGAATCGCAGGGCTTAAATAAAGGTCACGTATGACTGAGACAATCATTGATGCGAGTAGTTAGTTTTTGAAGTGGTAACTGGTAGTTACTATTACTACTGCTGCAAAAATATCCCTTTTTAGTACGAGAGTCTATGACGCTGCTAGAGATAGACATTCGCTTATAATTAAGGTTATTTCTTTACCGCTGATGTACATAATGTAAAATCCATTTAATTAATGTGTAAGCTGAACATAAACAGAATCTCATAAGCTTCCGCGTATAAATATATTCAGCTTTTACGCCATCTAGCGAGGCATTGGTAAACTTCCTAATGAAAGGTAACGCCATCTACGTAGGGCTCTGAGTTATTTGCGCAGGGAATTTTCGAAAATTTAAGTTGCCTGAATATTTTAGATGTATCTAATGCAAGAAAAAAGCTTAACAGATATACGTAGAACTCTTTGATGTACGTGTAATGTGTGTGTGTGTGTGTGTGTGTGTGTGTGTGTGTGTGATTGGTTAACAAAATCAACGAGAATGACGATTGGATTACAAGAACTTGGATTGATCCTCAGATAAAATCTGGTAATCACAAAATGGTATTTGAATTTTCGAAATGCTTGTAGTCCGAGCTATATTCTTGGCATTAGTGCTAACACAAATTACCATAAGTTCTAATATAACTTAAGAATTAGTACCTAATATCTTAAAGTAAAAGTTATTACTATAATCAGTATCACGAAACTTGTTCCAGGTAAGCCCACTTGGAGTTTTGTAGTGAAGTTTCGTGGTAACTGTGTCAAATTTGCTTTTAGGGGGCTACGTGGGGCGTGTTATTGTGATGATGATGATGATGAGTGAAGGAATAGCGTATATTTATAACGACGTAAGGTTTAGCTAGTCGTTACCGACTTCGTTGGAGTTTTTATCACATCAACTACACTTAAGGATAATACTTTTAAAATGTACAGATTATACAGTTACAATGCACGAGAAACAAAATTATATAGTGCAACTATTATGATACTATACTTTGTGACCATTTACCTTTATAAATAAAAATTCAAATTCAAATATTTATTACATGAAACAAGGCACATAGGATGGAACTCTAATACAGTACAGTTTATCACAAAAAAGAAGACACACTTAAAAATTCTGTCATACGACTACGACTAGCCCAACCTTACGTTTCTAAGTAACCTATACGTTAAGATAGTTATTATCTTAGTTATAACTTATATCGACCTAATGATACTCAAATCATTTTTACGATTTACTCGACAGCGTCAGTTTATCGTCGGTCTTTGTAATTTATAACTTATCAGGTAACACAGGTGGGTCTGGTAACTTCAATTAGTTGTAGAAAAATTAATTGTGAATATTCCTTGTCTTACGCCCGTATCACAAACGATGCTTGCTTAAGCGAAGCAGCAAATCGAACGCTCAGCGTTGAATAGAGCTCTGTGATTGGTTTGTGTGTCACCCTGTGCATCCACGCGCACTATGAGACCTCATAGTAATGTTTGTGAATACGGGTGTAAGAATTCTAAATTTCTTCATATTCAACATGCAGCGAGTGACGCCCACCATTTTTAATTTATAATTTCTCACATTCATGATACATTCAAGTAAAATATTCGACCTATTTTCACATGTAAATATGTGATGATACGCATAGCTGTTTATCATACACAAATATGTCAAAATTATTGATGCTCTAATGTTTTTCTCTGTGAACTTACATTTTCTCATTTTTTGTTGTTCATAGTTTCTTTCAGACTAGATGTGTAGTCTTGAAGGTACATTCATTTTTTTACCATGGCTAACCATATCAAACAGCATGGTTGCTTCGCTTAATGATTTGAAAAGGATCATTTGCTGCCTTCCAAAAGAAACAATAAACAGTTCTTCTGCTAAATTACAGTTTTAGAGAAGAGAAATAAAAGTCTAATTAAAAAAACAAGTACCTAGAGAAGTTAACTCTGATCGGCCAACAAGGTGGCAACTGGTCCGCAAGCAACATTCAGCTTTGCATGCTCAATGTTGCGTCGTGGTGCCACACAGAAACGACAAATCGGATAAATCTCAAGTTGCTAGCACACAAACTGATTATCACTAATATTGAGAAACTATTTCTTGTTCGCCCAGTACTAAAGGTAAACTGGATGAGAATGCCTTATGGCATTAAGTTCGTCTAATGTTAATATTTTTGGCATTGAAGTATAAATAAATAAATACTATTCTATTGGGCAAATAGAGGAATGTTTGACAATTGTTTTCTGACAGTTTCTGCTAGCATCTCCAAGGGTTGCCTGTCCTTTTTGTATGTATAGTTGGCCGTATCTTATGATTTAGCTCATTGTAGGTAGTATATCTATTTCATTTATCATCACAACTAACCTTTATGATTTTCCACTTTACAAAAGCGAAGTTAATTTGAAAGCTTCCTAGTCGCATGACACGCATCGTTCGTCGTAGAGAGGATAGCAACCCGTGGCTGCAAACACACTCCCGAACGAAAGATCTATAGTCTGGTCGCCGAGCACGTAGAATTTTGTCCAATGACCCCAAGCTACCCATCTTTATCGCTCGCGCTTAATTATGTAGCTGTCGCGCTCGCACACTCACTGCGGGCGCCCGTCGCACAGTCGCGACAGCAATATAATTACGCGCGAGCGATAAGGACGGGCAGCTTGGGGTCATTGGACAAAATTCTACGTGCTCGGAGACCGGGAGAAATGTAACATTACTTTCAGATGGCGATAACCAGCGCGGCACTGCCATTGTGTTTGCAACCACATCTGTGTGGCACACTATCGAATTACCTCTAATATTTTCCTCCGTCCACAGGATCGAAGACGAATGGGTGCCTGAGAAAGACGTGAAGCGGATCAAGCGTGTCGAGATAGCTACGTTACCCGCGCACACCAAAGTGCTACTCTACGAGCAGTTTTGCGCGGCGTATCGCGTTAGTCCAAGCCCGCCGCCGCCGAAAAAGGCCGTCCCTACCACGCGAGTTCTCCCGGCGAGGCACTGCACATCGTCGCGACTCCTCAACAAGTTACTGGCGAAGCAAAAGCAGAAAAAATCGGAATGCTCCACGCCGGATCTTGCCGCGTTGTACAAGCCGCCGCCGGAACGCGTCGAAGTCAGCGGCGCCAAGAAACGCAAGATGGGCCGCCGGTATGGCGGCTACGACGCCTTCTGGCCCTCCGGACGATAATTCCCTATCTGTAAGCTCGCTATGAATCTGTTTCGTCTTTTCTTTTAATCTGCGATAATGTAGCCTTGATTTAAGTACTTATAATAGTAACACCTTAAGTGTAGCCGCTCAGTAAGTGCCTATTCACCAGTAAGTTAGATAACGTCTGAAACACCAGCTATCTACTATCGAAGTAATAAGAAATATGGAAGACGCTTTGGAATATCTGAACAGAATAAGAATTTAATGTGCCTTTTATAAACGCTAAGCTTCACGAATTACACGTAAACAGTTATGGCGGTAGATTGACAATATTTGACAGGAAGACCCGCCCATACGAATAGTAGATGTACAAATACAATCGTAAAAGATTGTATCAAATAGTTCTTCCACGTTTATTAATATTTCGAAGGTTGAAAGTAGTCTAATGACATTTTTACACAATTTTTCAATAGCAAATAATTTTAATCCGTTCTTTGTAATTCGACTGAAAGACCGAAACATTTTCATAGGAGACAACGGAATTCGACGGGCGTGTGTTTTATAAAACTAGGACGGCTAGATTTTAACAGTGTACGCTTTCGAAGTGGATTTTAATCAATTATACTGCCAATTTTATCTAATATTTTACAACATAACTGCACGCGCAACAGTTTTTTTTTGCGACCTTAATATAAGGCAGTAAGGTTCAAATTGCTTGATAAACAGATTCAGGCGAGTTTTGTGAATTTTTAAATGTTTTTAGTTACTATTCTTATTACAAAGACATCCCACTTCGTTAGCGTCCCATAAACAAACCCAAGACGCCAGAGTACAAACGCCAGTCTTCCATAAAACTTCCATAGATGAAAACCTATTGAGCCCCATACACACGCCCGTCGAACGATAGCGTGAATTGTTAACGCATAGAAACGTCAACGTTGGACGCGAAATTGACGTCAGGTCTTTTTAATCGATTTTAACGGTTTTATGCTATTTATTTATCAGTCTGACAAGGCTTTTTATCTTATTTCAATTTTACTATAGTGAATTGTAATTTAATTTTATGTCGATGATCTAATGATACAGTTTTAAATTGATTAATTATTCAATTATTATTTACGTTCCGTCATTTAATTGGATGAGTTCTAATTTTGATTTGAATTAATTGAATAATTTTAATTTTGCTCTGAGTGCAGATTTTATTTCTATTTCAACTCGTCGAAAATTTCTCGTCCAATGGGTGACAAGAATGTTGTAAGGTTCGGGAGCGTTAGTAGTATTCGCGAAGACAGATGTTGATTCTTCGGGCGAACCGCCCGGGCTCAATGTAGCGAGTACATACAGGTCAGGACTGCAAGCGCCAAGAATCAAGACCATGGATTCAATCCACAGTCCAAATATTCTCAGATCCCTGCCGCTCGCAGTCCGAGCCTCACCCACAAGACTGATGCTTACTTTTTATAATGATATTGAGGGAGAACTTCGTTCACGAAGCTGTAAATAGTTAGCGCGAAGTGTAAAAAGGTTGTAGGTGCATACGATAGATTCTATTCGAGTTAGTTAGTGGACGGAGTAGTCTGAATATTTTTAAGTTGTTAAGGCGCGTGCACACTGTCGCGATTCGGACAGTTGACTGGCGTGGTTTGTAAAAAGTGTTTAGGTAATGTCAAGTCGGTTGCGACGGCGTGGACGGTGTGCGCCCGCCCTTAGAGTAAGTTGTGTCGCGTAGACACGGACGACCAGCAATACGCAGCACTGCCAACGTGTACATAGTAGATGATTAATGAAACATTCGTTTAGCTTAGATTAATATGATTTTGACGCTTTTTGATGTGGTTTCGTTTAGTGGTGATTAACCGCGTCTCGATTGCTTTCGCTTACGTGCCAATATACATCGATTTGTGTGGTTTTTGTCATAGTACCAATTGACCAGTCAGTATCATGTGACGCTTCTCATTTGTGAACTTGTTCATGTGAATAGTATTTCACAAAGGACTGTCACGTGACGCGGACACCGGTCCGTTGTCTATGGTTGTATAATGCGCGATGCATTTCGGGTGTCTTCCGGACTTGGGCTGACGACTCACCAAGTGCCTCGATAGCGCAGTTCTACCGGTACTACGTAGTGTTCACTTTATATCAATATACCCGTGTAGTCATATCAGACGAAACTCGCAGTTAGTACTAGTTGTTAGAGTTCCATTTTGATATTCGGAGTTTTATCCAGTCCTTGTGTTCGAAACGTGAATTTTAAGACGCTTTACAGAATCAACAACTGTCTACAACGTTTTGGAAGGAACGCTGATTTCGGGAGTGACAAGGATGACGATCTACCAATTTCGGTCTCGTATAGCGCCGTCTCAGTCAAACAGACTCAAGTGTTCTTCCAAACGTGATTCGTATTTTATAGTGTGTCCGATGACTTATTTATACGACACTGCCATTGAAAGTGTTTAGTTTAAAGCCGTTGTAACAACATCGACGATTGTACTGTTAGCAATAAACGTTTTGTGATAAGTGACTTAATTGTTGAATAACAGATATATTCGTTTCCACGCACAAGTGTTTTGTATTTTGTGTATTATTGTATACAACAGTTATACAGTGGCATGAGTTTGGAAAAGCTATGATATGTTCTAGTATCAATTTTGTTAATGAAGTGATGGTCGGTCGGGTCGAGAGAACCGAGGAGACGTTACCGTATGACTTAATGTTCTAAACTACTGCCTAATGACGTAGACATAAGTACCAAAATGTCATAGTCGCCTCTCCGTTCTGGCGGCCCGGCAAGCGGAGAACTAAAGATACATGCATTAGTGGTTACATAAACACAACATGCCAATGATTTTGATATTTTGAACGTCAATAACAGATTTATTAGGCAGAATTTAGGTGTTAACTTTTTGGAGTCCCCTTATACAGAAGTTGTTAATGCCTTTTTAGCAATAAGGGATTATACAATTGAATGGAGTAAATTGTGTTCTGTGCTCACACGATCTCGCTAGTATTTTTAGTTAGTGCCTATAGTGATAAGTTAGGATGAATTGTGTGTGGACGTGGTGTATCTTAACGGTAATAGACACCAGTGCGTATTTTCAGACTTTCGCTTTTCGACGTCATAAGAGTAACGGAGATTCTATATTAGATGGTCGTAGCGAAGCGGTAGGTTGATAAAGTATGATAAGTCGAGTGTTGGGGTAAAGTGGGTAGTTGGAGGTAAGGGCGGGCGCAGGCGACGGTCGGTGATAACGAACCGAATGAATGACACTTTGAGTGTGTGGACAGTTGTGAGATCGTCGTCGGCGCCGGCCCTAAGACCGCGGTGGCCCTACGAAGTCGCTACGGGCCCGCGAAAGTACTCCTATAGGGAAATGTAGCGCGATCACGTAGCCAGTTTGTCTTATCGATTTTAAGGTATATTATTCTTAAACGTTCATTAACATAGCGAATTAATACATAATGTCGGTCGATAAGACGGTGGCTCTCGCGCGCGTAGACCCAAAGAAGTGTAATAGAAAAATTTCTCCAGTAGTCAAGTTGGTGCCTGATTGTTGATGAGTAATGGGATCGTATGCTAAATCTACAGTCTAGACTTCTTTTTGGAGCGTTTCCAATGTACTGATTATTTTTTTATTAAATTTAAAAACTAGAGTAATTATTTTCAGCACTGATAGTAGTGCCATATTTTATTGGCTCGCTTTTTTTTATAAATTATTTTTGTAGTGAAATTCGACACCAAAATCAGAAAGACAAAATTGCGTTTTGTTTTATCAGTAACAATATGGACTTGAATATTTGATCTCAGACTGACGGCGATGTCGCACGCGCCGGTTCCTTCGCTAAGTTTCGCTCAATTCGAATGCGTACATTGCACGACAAACAAACCGACTGGCCTAGTAACAATTCTAGTACAAATTTCGTTTTACTGTACGGAGGCGCTTTGAAACAAACTTTGTCAAAATTGATCACGGATTAAAGTATCTTAACTCCATTAGGCTAGTGTTTAGGCGTTCGGATCGTTAGGCAGATAAATATTTTGTGAAAGCGAACCCTGTCGACGGGGGACTAAATTATATCGAAAAATATACATAACTCGTAAGCGCAAAAAGATATATTTTTGTCACTGCCACAATAGTCATAGTTGGGTGTGTGAGTGGCCGCGTTTGCTCACGGAGAGTAGTTAAGTTGTATTTAGTTCCGCGCGCGGCGCAAGGCGTCTCGGCGGCGCTAGCGTGCTATGCCCATAGTTTTTGTTCAGCCGCGGGTTTGGGATCTAACCACGATGTTGTGAAGGCGTGAAACACATTACAGCTGCAATGCAGACGCGGCGACCGGGACTACAAACAAACATAGCGCGATCTATTCAGAATTTAATAGACAAATAGTTTCGTTACCGCGACGCGGCGTTTGTTCAGACGAACTGGAATGTATATAGTTAAGTGTATTTAATGTTAAGTATTATTCTGCATAATCTGTAATTTGCTTCGCGCCTGGTTGGCCGGTTAGATTAGTCGTAGCGTACGGAGTTGTCTTTCACAATGTTTCCTATATTATGCGTTTATTATATGAATGTTCTCCTTTATTGTAAATGTTTGACGAGATACAATAGTAATGCGTGGAGTCTGTATCCTGGATAGTGTGCACTACTTATATTCAATTTGTAGATATTTAATTATATATAGTATAATGTTTAATGCGTTGTCTTATTTGCTTGATCCCTCGACGGTGAAATCCGAAAATTAATTATAATTTGACCCACAGCGGAATGGGTAATCTACCTCAATTAATTTATCACACATTTGGGCATAATAATAGTAAATATTAATTTAATCTCGAACCTTTAAATTTGTTCAATGTAGTGATTATTAAGATTTTTTAAATACAATGGTTTGTCCACCTGTCACAAGTACTGTATCTTATATTAAATACATATTGTATGATTGATAAACATGTGTTTTATTGTTCAACGCTTCATACACACAATACACATTCATTCATCACACACATCCGATTCCTAATCATAGGTATGTTTTTGTATTTTACATAATAGCTGTGACCTACTTGACACACAAAAACACACTACTACCACAAATTACTAATAAAGTCACTACACAGACACAAAAACTATTAATGAGAAATAAAAGAAGACATTAGCATCAAAATAGAGTCGTGCATTTCAAGTTGTCGAAAAAGTGTGACTGTTCTTTTTTAACCTTGCAGTCATCAGAATACTCTTCTAGAATTAGTATCATAAAGTATGTATTGTTTATTTCTAAGATTTTATGGGTTGAGCACTAGACCATTCTGGCGTGAGCACACTTCTTGCGGTCTTATCGTTATGAGAAACGATCTCTTCCAGACAACCTAGAGGACAGTTGTTTAAAATAAGGGGAATGGAGGCCGCGTACCGGAAAACGCAGCGTGTGACGTCCACCTACAAGGTGGACCGACGACATCGTAAAGGTAGCAGGGAAGCGCTGGACGCAGGCCGCTACCAATCGATCAACATGGAAAGCATTGGGGGAGGCCTATGTTCAGCAGTGGACGTCCTGTGGCTGAAATGATGATGATGATGAAGTAAGTCATTGAGATATTTGAATCAAAATGTAGAGCGAAAAGTACATTTGCCTCAAGGCATTGATAGGTAAGTATTACATACTATTTTACTTGAACTAAACACTGTGCCTTGTTTTAGTTGTAATAGGTGTTAT